ACTTAGGAAGTTGTTTGAGGGCATGCATACACAAGTATGTATGAGTCCCAAACTCCGTGGCTGCTTCTCAGATCCCCCACTTCTATCTACCAATGAATTGAGGTGGGGTTTTCTTAACTAGGTAGGTGAGTATCATGTACTGTTTTCACAATTCCCATTTCTGCAATAAGATTGATGAAGCTGCCCCATGGTAGACACAGGATTCAAAACTCTTTAGCAGAGAGACTCCCAGGAATTTGGTTCTGATGAGCCCAATCATTAAGGAGGTGTACATAAATCATCATTTCATGTTACTTCACAAAGACACTGAGGCATCGCAGTTTGGCATCTCATTCTTCAAATAAACCCAAAATGTGAAACTTATCCTCATGGTCCTCACCCCAAAGAATGATAGATTTATCCTGAATCTTTGAAGCAGATATGTCCAGGCCATTTCACGGTTACCTTTCCCTCCATTCCTGCAAAAAAGCCTTCACTCAGGTAAGCAGCTCATGTTTTCTTTTCTTCCAAAGTCCTTCCTTAGTTTGCCATACATTCATTTACATCATTCCTTACTGCTCATATGCAATTTTTCTCTAGTTTGTAAACTTATGAAAAAGAATATTCTCAGGAAACCTTTGTCAAATTAAATTATCCTAATGAGACTCATAATCTTAGGAGTATTTATGTATTTAATGATTTATTTCTCTTTTGGAAAACAGATATCATTAATAATTTATGATTGTTGCCTGTGCAATACATCTTAATTTATAGGATGCATAGAAAAGGTTACTAATATGAGAGCATGCTAGGGTAAATGGATGAGGACATGATTGAAGCTGTCTGGATTTGGCCACTCTCACTGTGAACAGGAATCAGTATTTCAGCATGCCTGAAATCCATTTCTGCCCTCCAGCATAGAGGTTGGTAAGCTGATTTTTACTGTACATTAGTTACACCAACATCTGTATATAAATTTCTTGGAATAAAATTTACATAACTATTATGACAAATGTAATATATAAAGCTTTCAGAGTTCCCATAAAATCTCTGTCCCAAAATCATTGAGCTTGCTGTGTAATGTTATTAACAATAGCAGGGGAGGGTGTTGTGGTGCAGTGAGTTAAGCTGCAGCTTAGGCGACTTGCATCCCATATCAGAGGAAGTGTGAAGTAGTCCCATCTGAATTCCAACCCAGCTTCCTGCTAACACACCTAGGAGACAGCAGATGATGCTCCAAGTCCTTGAGCCCCTGCCACTCATGTGGAAGACCTGGATGAAGACCCTGGCTCGTGATTTTGGTCTGGCCCAGCTCTGGCTGTTGTGGGTATTTGGAAAGTCAGTCAGTGGATGGAAGATCTGGCCCTCGCTGTCATTAAGCATTTCAAATGAATACAACTTAAAACAGCAGCAACAACAACTGTGCAAAGCTTTCTGATGAAGGCATTTATCTGATGCTTCTGTCCGCAGGAAAATCTTCTGAGGTAGAGTCATTGAATGGTCTTTTGAAGATTTCATTTCCATAAGCATTATCATTTATGGAGTATTTTCTGGACTAAGATCTATAGCCCAGTGAATGGTCTTGGTTAACACAGGGGAAGGTGTGTAGAAAGCAAAGAAACCAAAGTGGCCTAGATCACATTACATCATCCCACTGTTCAAAACACCCCTAAAGCTTTTAATAACACTTAGAATAAAACACAAATTCCTCACCATGGAATTGTTTATTGTTTATTTTTCTAACTTCATTCAACCACTCTAAAAATATTGAGTAGCTACCATATTCCAAACATTTGATGCTACAATTGTCAATAAGAATTAAGAGCCTTACCCTGATGGTGTTAACATCTTCATGTGAGGAGAAAGCAGACAATTAACCATCAAGTACATATGTAGGGTAAATGGGGTATCATAGGCAACTGAGCTGTGACAAAGGAAAATTGAGGGAGGTTACAGGGGACTGAGAGTATCAGCAGCAGTACGGTCAGCATTTTTTCTCCAGATGGCCAGACAACATTTTAGCCTTTGGAGGCTGTGGCATCTATGCAGCAACTACTCAGCTGTCTTAGCAGTCCAAAGACAACCCCAGACAATGCATTAATGAATGGGTGTAATTGTGCTATAATAAAACGTTATTTATAAAACAGCAGGTCTGCTGTGGGTCAGAGTTAGCAATTTGAGACTCTTTGATTACACTATTGAATCTTCACTAGGGACTGTGCCATTGAGAGAGTCGCTTTGAGGAAAGACTTGAAGCATATGTCATATCATGCACCCCGTGTTTCACATTGCTGTTTTTCTACTTGTCTTCACCATGCTTATTACAAGCTTGCTCTTTACCTTGGTCCTTTGTATTTGGGGGCTCCCCTTCTACCTGAAATGTTCTACCCTGTGTTATGGGCATTCTCTTCATACAGTTCTCAAACAAAATGTCATCCAATCAAATGAGTCTTTTTCAAGGACATTTTCCAACAGCCCTGTCCAAAGCAGCATATGCTACTCAGAGTACTCCGTCCCGTTGTCCTTTCTGGTTCTGACCCTGGATCAGAGTTACCAGCATGTGAGCATGTTTTCTTTGTGTTTGTTTGCAGTCTGTTTTTACCTCTCCCAGTGAGTAGATAAGTTGCATGCAGGCAGTAAATTAGTTCCTTTTTACATGCCAGTATAAATATAACATCTGGAGTAGTAACAGGTAAGAGATTCACTAAACATTTGCTAAATCAATGAGAGTGGATGTCATTTGTAAAGAGTGAAGCCAACATTCAGTCCCAGCAAACTGCTGCTGTGAAAGAGTGATATATTTGTTATCAGATCTACGTTTTTAAGAGAAGCTAGATATTTGCATATTTATGTGAAATGTCTCAACTTTAAAAGAATGTGACTAACTCAAAAATATAAAAACTATGTATGTCAAGCTAACTGTTTCAGTGATCTAGTTGTCTGAATCGTGTGCTGTAAGTTTTCATGGATGAAGCAGTATGTGTTTCTGAGGCTGCTTCCTATCCAGGATGAACTGTGACATAGATAGCTTATTAATGTCAAAATGGCTTGTTAGTAGTAGTATTGGATCATGAATGCACTTCTTTTATCTTCCTTCCTTATTCTTGGCCTGTGGTAGGAGCAGGTATTTGGTGCAATGGCTCACTCACATTGCCACTTGGGATGCCTTTATGCCATATTGGAGTGCCTCATTCAAGTCAGGCTAATCCACTTTCGATCCAGTTTCCTGGTGATGTGCACTGTGGGGAGCAGTGGTGATGGCTTAAGTATTTCGGTCCCTGCTTCTGGCTTGCACCTGGCCCATCTCTAGCTGTTGCAAGTGTTTGCGGTGTGAACCAACAGATCTCTGTCTGTCTCTCTGTCTTCCAAATAAATAAAAAATCTTAAAAATGACTACACATACTTAAACCTTTCCCTACTGGCAATTCACTCTTCTAATAGATAGGCTTCATGCATACAGGCTTCATGCATAAACTTTTGGAACCTGTATCAGCTTTTGAAATTTTTAAAAATTTATCTTTACTTGCCTTTGCTCTGGAGGGATGAAGTTTCCAAATCTTTGGATCTGTGTGACATAATTTTCAAAGCAAAATTTGCAAGGGAGTATATTTCATTGATTCAAAGTGTGCCTCTGAGCACTGTGCCTAATTTATTGTAGATGTTTGACAAATATTTATTGGATAATGAATGAATGAAATCAATATTAATTATATTTGGAAAAAGGATGTAACTGAAATTAAAAATATTTTGAGTGTCCATGTATTATCTGAGAAACATTTTACTCAAGCCATGAATGTTGAAAATCTAATTTATTATACAAATTCAATATATTGATAAATGTTCAATCTGTGATAAATGAAAAAAATGCATGTCCTAAGGGTTTTAATTCTGAATGTGCTAGATGAGTAGGTAGCATTTACTGCAATTTTGATATGTGGTGAATATGAAGTATTTTACATTTTGTATTAATGTCTACCTTAAGAGAGAAATAATTTTTATTATTTCTATTTTGTGGACTAAACAACTGAGGCACAGAAAAACTTATATCCCTTGCTTGGGCTCAGACAGGCAGGCAGTAAAGGGCATGGCCAGGATTTGATCTCCTAAGCTGGATATTGTGAACTACTGCGAAAACTATTGAAGCTTTAGCTAAAGTGAACTGATAAAAACCTCACAAAAACAAATGAACAAAAAGAAAGAAAAACTGGGAGCTGTTTCCTTAGTCACATTATTATTTTTTAAAATGTATTTATTTATTTGAAAGACAGAGTGATACAGACAGAGAGAGAGAGATCTTCCATCTGCTGGTTCATACCCCAAATGGCTGCAACAGCTGGGACTGGATCAGGTGAACACAGGAGCTAGGAGCTCCAATGAGGTCCTCCATGTGGGTTCAGGGACACAAGGACTTGGGCCATCTTCTGCTGCTTTCTTAGGAACAACATAAACAGGATGGATCAGAAGCGGAGCAGCCAGGACTCAAATCAGCACTCTGATATGGAATACTGGCATCACAGGTGGTGGTTTAACCTAAGTATCAGAACACCAGTCCTTAGCCACACTGAAATAAGGTATTCTATTTTCATTATTTTCTTTTTCCTTTAGAAACCTGGTGCTGTTGGACAAAATCTATTAATTGAAGGGCTCACTTAACTATTCAATAGTTAACAGAGGTCATAGTGTAGACAAAGATATCCCACATCCTGCCAGTTGTATCCCGTTTCTAATGTTGCTGATTTCTCATTCTCAGGTTGTTTACATGCCAGTGTTTGCATTATTGCACAGGCTTAGGATTGTTCAAATATTATCTGAGCTGTAAATATTTTTTGAAAGCTTTTCCACATCATTGTGATTGGTTTTATTTCATAATACACGTGATATCGTTGAGAATCCAAGCTTCCCATTCTGTGTCAGTGACTTCAGATGTCGAGCTCAAAACAGTAAAATATGAAAATGGGTATTAGAACTGCTTTTGTCAGAGCATGGGAATACAGAAGAACATAAATGTAGAACAGCCAACATTGCATTCTCTTGAGCACTTTATTTGTTATAAATACAAGTCAATACCACAAGATGGCGCCTTCTTACTTTCAACACCTATGATTACAAACAATTATCTTCATAAAATGGTCTTAGCTTTTTAATGTGTTGTTTTAGATAATATTGAAACCTTATAAAAGCAAGACTTGCTACAAACAGGATTGGTGTTCTATGTATATTAAATGAGGTCAGATAATTAAATTCAAAAAAATGTATAAATATTCAGATAAGAAAATTGAAATTACAAAAGCAGAGTTTGTCATCATTAAACTGAATAAGAACTGTGTGGGGTTAATGCTATATCTACACAGCTAAGATTCTGTTAAAATACAGTTTTGGTAATCAAATAATGTACCCCATTCTCCAATATAAGCATCTACCTCATTTGCACACCCCAACAATCAGTACACACTTCATTCAAAAACCCTTAGCTTTCACACCATCCAGCAGTTATGCACACTCCATTATCTTTAACAGAAGCAACCCACATAGTGCCATCACTCCCTGACTACAAAACAAAATGCAATATTTAAAGGTAAAAACTCAGAGAACTTCTGAAATGGTAACCCATTCACTTTGTGTTCATGAAAATAGGCAATCCAATTTGAAAGTCTTTGAACCAATGTAAACTCTAGAAAACTCAGTGTTGAAGCATGGGAAGAATAAAGACTTTGCACTAATATAGTGCATAACGATGCAATGTTACACTCCTCATTTACAGTAAATGCCTTGATTGGACTTTCCTCTGGATTGTCATTATGCTGCTGAAGATCAAGTTTACTCAAGTCTGTGGGAATTCCATCATGTCTTCGTCCTCCCATTTCCAAACAGGAAGAGAAGGATTTTCAGGTCCCTTGGGAAAACCAAAAAAATAAAACACTCACACCCACAAACAACTTGAAAACAAAATGGCAGACCTAATAATTCTTGACTCCATGTCCAAATGAAGTTGAGGCAATATTACTTTTGCAATATTTGTATTCTGCCCGATATATCACATCATGAGATTCCTCAAAAAACTGAGAAGTCTGAGAGCTACAAAAGAGAAAGCAGTTAAGGCAGTTGATGTCTACATTTGGATTTCTTTTTCAGATTACATGTCTAAGTCTCCATCGTAGGCTAAGGTCAGAGGCTTCTGTTGGGGAGGTGTGCTTTGATGTGGTTTTGGCTTCTTGCTGCAAAGGGAAAAGAATTCCTCAGATACACAATATACAGAGAGCTCTCTTGCATCTGCCAAGGACAAGTTTGAGGTATAAAAATGTAAATGGTATATGACAAGATTCATTGCGCTGGACATTTTTTTTTAGCATTGTATACTTTAACCTTCTGTTAAGAGACGTCATAATTTTCTCAAACTCTGAAGAATGGTTTGGTGGAACCATGGCCCATGGTAGAAGGATTATTTTCCTTTTTCTTCTTGTTTATGCACAGTAACATGGACATCTGCTGCACACTAATTCCGAAACCACTGTGACCTCTGCATCACAGATGTTTAGCAGCGTAAGCAGCTGGAGCAGCCAGGCTCCCGCGCCTCCCCCTGCTGTTGTTTTTGAGTAAACACGCTTCTGCTCTTGTCTGAACCCTGACATTTAGCTGCCAACTCACTAGCATCTGTCAGAAAAATTGCAGCAGTTCTATTCCATGCACAGCTCTCCTCACGTGGTCTCTGCTTTACCAGAGGTCAACTGCTGTATCAGGTAAGGGAGTGTGCTTTTCCTTCTCACACACAGAGAAGCTGAAATGGAGTAACATTTCCGAATTTCCCAAGGACACGCCAGAACTGGGGCAAACGCCCTGCATTGCACTTCTTGTTTGTTAGTTACAGGTGACTCTCAACTTATGTTAATAAACATGTATAGCTGTGGTTTTTCTACCTTTTCCTTGCTGAAGCCTTTATTTAGGGGAGCGTTAAGCCTGTGGTTATAAGTAAATTAAAGATATGTTTATTGCAAAAATTAAATAAGAAAGGAAAGAGGAGGCAGGGAGTGAGGGGAGAAGGGAAGCATCACTATTTTCTTAGAAACGTCTCTATGAACTACAGGAAATCTGTTCTCTCTACATGAATAGAAAGTAAATAAATAAATACTGCTTAAGTCTGCCTTGCAGGCCCCAACCCCCACCATACTTGCTGCTCCATTGCTTCCTTCTGCTTCGCCCTGCTCTCGGAAGAGCCCAGCCCTCCTTGGGTTGTCTTCCCCAGCAGGAAACCATCTCTCTTGCTGTTTCCAAATGTCTATGCTACATATATATAATTTATATATTTATAAATTTATTTATATACTGTTTATAAAATAGTAGCAGCTATTACTTACTGGATACACACTAAATTTCAAGTTCTGTGATGAACAGTTCATATCAAAGCTCTCAGCACATCCCAGAAGATCCCTGAAAGGGAGGCATTAGGATTGCTACTGCTGTTCAGAGAAAGACTGAAGTGGTCATTGGCCTTTCTGTGGGTCACTGAATGATATGGGGCAAATCTTGGATTCACAGGACATCTCACACACAGACTGAGCCTTTAACCGCTTCACTATATTCTCCTTATCTCAGTGCCAGTCATGGGTAGCAATGCACTTTTTGTCCATATTTGGATTTTTATATGCTGAGTTAATTTATATTTAAAAGAAGCATTTTAATATGTACCATTCAGCGGCACGTCTTACAGTCACAATGTTGTGTACCATCATCATTAGCTAAGTCCAGGTCATTTTCATTGCCTCAAAGGCAGTGCTGTACCCATAAAAGAGTCTTTCTCCCTATGCCCCTCTTCCCTGACAGCCAATAAGCAATTATTACCTCTATTGAGTTGCGTACTCTAGGTCTATTAAGTGAATGCATCATACTACAGGCAAGACTTTCATGTCTCACTTTTCTCACTTACAGGCTAGAGCAATGAGCTTTATGTTATATGAATTTTACTACAATTAAAACTTTTCGATAACATTAAAATAGTTGTAGTAAGAACCTCTTCAATTAAAATGCTCAAGGTCTAATTTAAGAAGCAAAAGTACAGGTGTTTTGGCTTGATCTTTGAAGCAAACCAAAATAGCTAATAACTAAAGAGATAAAAATAATTTCCCAAAAAATTGCACATCGTCTCAGCGACCCATCCGCCGGCTCCTGGCATCAATGGGTGTTCGTGGAAGATTTGCTGAGTGCTGGCCATGGGCAAGCAACTTCGAGCCAGAAAAGCAGAGTAGAAGCACAAACATGATCTAAGTCCTCTGCAAAGAAAACTGCAGCCTCCAATTTCCAGTTCTCCAAGGGAGAGAATTCATAATCTACTGACTAATATCCCATTTAAAGTCATTCGTTTTGTTCTGTACATGTATTCTAGTGGCTCCATTTGTATTACTGGGCATAGGCTGTAGCATAAACAATGATTCTAGCTTGAATCAGAGCCTGAAGCATGCCAACCTACAGTATAAACAAATCAGGTCAACAAGAGTTTGGGACAATGTGCAAATGACAACTTGCATATCCACCCTAGTGGTGTTCTCCTGACCTGCCAGGAAATGCATTTGAAATGACAATAGGGATTTCCTCTTCCCAGCTCTCCTGCTGCCTTTGAGGAAGATGGTGGCATAGGACAGGGAACAGAGAGGAAGAAATAGTGGTGCTTCTAAACAAAGTGTTTGGCGATCCACCTTTAACTGGCATCTACTGTGGGCTACCGGGCAAGCAGAAGTGAGAGATCCACGCCTGAGGAGTGGGGAGGGAGAACAGAGATGGATGGATCTTTAGAAGAAGGTGACAGTATTGCCAGGCAGACATCTCAGCTTGGTCAGCCTCTGTGAACTAGGCCTGGAAAATTCCGGTCCAAGTATATATGTAATGAGTTTCTCCCAGTTTCCACGAATGGAGCTGTGAACACCCTGTCTATCTTGCAAAGAAAAGCGGGCTCCTTATGTGTAGACCTTCAACCCCTGACGGTACTTTGGGGTGTTAAGGCGTCATTGTGATAAAGACCTTACTTTTATGCATCTTTTCATATTATGCAACATCTCAACTGATAAGTACTGAAGTCACAATTACAAATGTGAGACATGAGAAATATGATAGCATTTAAAAGAAATCAACATCCTCTCCAATGTTAATCTCTGAACCACCAAATATGATGGTGCTTTGCTGGATAGCTGTGGCTTTACAAAGCTTCCTGGCTGTTGAAAAACAGTTAGAAACCCAATAAGAGGAGCTGGGGACACAGCTGCCTGCAGCCAAGACAACAACTGGGAAACTGGTCTTTAGTGCCCTCAGCTCCCTTTCCATTTACAGAAATCATTTTTTTTTTAAGAAACAAATTTCTTTTTTTTAAATCCTTTTCCTCTTAATGCTGGTCTCGGGCTGGGCATGATAACCTGCTCATTCACATTGAACCAGAATTCACAAGGGCCTGGCACATTGGCCACCACCCCCACCAGTCATCCTGTGCCCAATGGACATCTCTCATCCATCACACTCTTCTCTCCTGTTGAGCTGCAGTGTAGCTCATCACTTTTCCTAATAGAGCACCTGTGACGACGACCACTGCTTGTAGAGCTGGCACAGCGATAAAACCATTTTGCAGTCCTGGCTGTGAGAGATCACTGACTGACACATTTGAGAGTGGCCTCTTCCAGGGTCGTTTGCATTGTAGCAAAGGATGAAAAACACACGAAGCCAGAAAATTGAGCTCGTGGTGGATTGACAGGAAGTAGCTGGCAGTTCTGAGCACCCTTGAATTCAAGCCACAAGGGCACAACCCTAGGCCAGTGAAGATTGAATATTTTGATGAAAGCAGCAAAATGTCATTAATTCTGGCAGCTTCCTGTGAGAGGTAAGCCTCTAGAAGTGGGGCAGCACTCTCAAACTTGGAAAGAGAACTCCATTACCCAGCTGTGCTAGGAAAGGCAGGATGGATATAGTTATTCAGAGTAATTTCCAGGCACTTTGTGAAGGGTAACTACACGCTCACCCAGTGGTCATCCTCACTAAACTGCCTCAATGATATTTATTGCCAGGGGAGCTGGGGGGCATCAGTACTATTTCTAAAGTCGAAAACACTAATGGCCGATGTTCAAGTGGTTATATCTCAGAGAAACAGACCATAAGAAGACTATTTTTCTATATTTTCTCAACAGCATCTCCTAGGTTTATTACGAATCACTTTCATCCAAAGTATCCTCCTAAGACCTGACATGACATAGCAGCTCTTTTGTCCTAAGTCTTTTATTTTGGAGAAAAATATAGAATTCCCAGAAGTGCTATCTTCTAACTCCCCTGAAGGCTATTTAACAAAACAAGATGCTGTGAAAATATCTCCTTGGGTTTCTTTAAGCAGTTCGCACGTAGCAGTAAACAGTGTGTGTTTTGATATCTACAGATCTGTTTTCAGGTCTGCAGCTTACTTAACCCATAAAAAAGGAAGCTCTACAAAAGGGAAAGCTGTAGACCTTACACTGAATCTGAGCAGTTTTTACCATTACTCAAGGGAAAAAGACTAGAGACATAGAAAGACCAGTAGAAGAAGCATGTACTCTGAGGTAACCTGCAGTGGATTCTACATGGCTAGTGACCTTAGAAAAGCCATTTCATTTTCAGAAGATCAACTTCTTGTTCTCTAAAATGAGGATGATGGGGCAGGTACTTGGCCAGTAGCTAAGATGCCCACCTCCCATTTCTGAGTGCTCGGGTTCAAATCCGGGGTCTGCTTAATTCCAGCTTCCTGCTAATTCATATCATGGGACACAGCAGGTGGTGGCTCAGTCAGGTCCCTACTACCCACATATAAGACCCAATTTGAGTTCTTGGTCCCTAGCTTTTTCAAAGCAGCCAAGCTTTGGTTGTTGTGGGCATTTGGGGAGTGAGCCAGCAGATGGGGACTGAACAAACAGATGGGAACTAGCAGATCTACCCCACCTTCCCCTTGCCTTCTGCCTATGCAAAGAAAAAAATCCATGAGGATGATAGAAGCAACACCTCAGCTTATTATGATTCAAAAAGGCAACATATGTAATGTTTGACAATAAGTATTATATTTTCTCCTAGACATTTTTCTAAAAACCATGAATAATAAATCAGTTGCCATTAATCTATTCACTGATTTCTCTACTTATTCATTTGCTCAGTAAATATTCATCAAATTTGTACCTTTAAAAAATCAACAAGAGTCATCATCTTTCCCCTCCCCAGAAGTCCTTGGGGTTTGGGTGAAAGATGTATATACAAATAGCTACAACACCAACATAAAGTAAATGCCACAGTAAATGGGCTTGTTGTACCAGACTGTTGGACAAGGAAAATGTTGATATTTGAATTATACGGGGAAGAACTAGTAGAATTTCAATAATTAGAGGGGAAAAGTTCACAAGTGGGATATAGGTAATAAACCATGGAAGAAGACTCCTTCATAACCCCAAAGACCCTAACATAAGATGATTACTGCGAAAAATTATCCTGCAAAAGAATATCTAGTCTTATGTTCAAACACTATAAAATCTTTTATATTACTAAGGGCCACCTTTATTGTACAAAATGCTATTTTAAAAAATAGAGACCATAAATATACACACAGAGCAAATAAAACAGTCTGCAAATAAGTACTTAGGTATTACAATAAAATTTCAGAAACAGCAGCAAAAGCAGACCCAAAGCAATGCTGTTTTCTCAAACAATTTAAGTGGAAATGAATATTGTGAATGCAAAAAACTGACCTTGGCTATGGAAAGAGAGACTGAAGCAGTGACAAGATGACCGATGAAAGATAAATGCAAATGTTGAATAAAACCATGTTACAAACATGAAATGAGACATAAATAATATCGTATAATGAAATATTAATCTATAATATAGGATTATTGATGGAGCTGTATAATTAAGCAAATCAATTAAATATTAGAGTAGAAAATTTAATATTTCCTCTAAATCAAAAGGTTTACTGTGGCAGGCATTTGTTCTACTGGTTAAAACACTGCTTGGAATGCCTGTAACCCTTACTGGAGTCCCTGGGTTCAAGTCCCAGCTCTGCTCTCAATTCCAGCTTGCGCCAGTGCAAGTCCCTTCCATACATGTTATAGATCCAGATTGAGTTGCTGTCTCCTACTTTTGGTCATGCACAACCCTTCCCCTTGCAGGCATTTGAACAGTGAACCAGTGTGTAAGAGCTCTCTGCCTGCCAGTCTGTCTCTCACTCTTATTTTATTTACTAAATTAAAAAAAAAAAACCTTCATTAATTTTATTTTCTTTTTGGTTTCTTACTTTGCTCAATGAAAAAAAAAAAAAGGAAAGTTTAAATATATGAGCCTAAACAACACACTAGATTTGTCCAAGGTGCAGGGAATTTGTAAAAGTTGAAATTGAAAGAGTTTTGGGGCTCCCATTATGGAAGAATTTAGTTATCCAGGGATGACTGGTGTTGCTGCCAGTGAGAAAGCACTACTTATGTATGAACAGGAGAGGGGCTAAGTTTGAGGAAGACTAATCTCACTTTAGACTGTCATGGGGAGCATTTGTAACAGGCAATGATGGAGTTACTGTGGTACTCCCAAAGGAGAACTATTGAGGGCAGCTTTGGGCATGAAAAAAATAAATACATATGGGAAACAATGTGCATAGATATATATTCATGTAATTTAGTCACTAAAAATATGAGAAAATTCCATTGATATTTATATTTTAAACTTTTTCTAGAAAATTATATTTGTTATCAGAATAGTCATGTATCTAATAAATCCCCAGAGTCTAGAGTCAAAAATAAATATCTGTTAAAGCAATGCGCTAAAGTTAACACATTTTTAGATAGAAGGACATGGAGAAATACAGCTTATGTATTACTGCATGTTAATTTTTAGTCTGTTACATATTCAAGGAAAGAGAAAACCTTAGATCTAACTTGAGGATGTGGTTCGTTTCAACCATAATTAATAGAAGCCTTTACAGACCAATAAACTGATTAAGTGGGATTAGCCCATTGCTTTGAGAGTAGTTTCCTATCTGCTAATCCTTCATATCCTCTGTTGTAATTTCAGATCTTTTCACCTTTATCTAATCTTTTCTGGTGGTGAAAGCTTCCTGTCACCTTGAACTTCATCCAAAACCTCTGACTTCACATTTATTCGTTAAGATTCAGTATAGTCAATACTTGTCAAACTTACCAATTTTAACATTAAAAAATCACTTGATAATTGAAGATACTTCTGTTTGCTACAAAACTATGGGAATGTTAGATGGCTTGAATTTCAATTTCTATGAATTAAATTTACATCCCTGTAGGTGGCAGAAATGATTAATCTTATTTTCTTCACCAAATTTCACCGATCAGGAGAAAAGATTTAGAAGTCTGTGAAGTCCTGGAACTAGAACGTGATGCTAAATATACAGGAACTGGATTTAAACAAGATTAAAATTTGGGTAAAAAGTCTCAAGGAAATAGTTTATGAAACAGATGATAAATATAGGGATCTTTATGTGGAGAAAAAAAGTGAAAAATTTAAAAATGCTTTGAAAACACTGCTTAGGCAGCTAGTAAAATATTCTTAACAGAGAAACACATTCAAATATATTTACTTGTATGTGCTTTCAAGAGCTCCTCATCAACTAAAATACACACTCTACAATAAGCTATCATTTTCTGAAGACACTAACGTTTCAAGAACGAGTCACATACAAAAGGGAGCTCCAAGAATGATCAAATTTTCTCTCACCACTGGTCAGTGTAAATACACACCTGGCTCTATTATGTAGAACATACTAGCAGATTGTTTGAACCAATTAGTTTAACCAAACTGATCAAAACAGTGAGTCTAAGAACACAATGAGTTTTCTAAATGTCCTTAGGCTTGGTTGCCATGGGAATTGTGTTGGGAGTTTATAACATCCAGATGACTTGGATGCACTTAAGACTAATTACATCCAAATCTCTGGGGTTGAGGTATAAGCACCAGTCCCCAGTATGTGCCAATAGCCAGTCAAGTTTGAAAATTCCTGATCTAAATGAATAAAAAACTTAGAAGGTCCTGATTAAATGACTTTCCTTTTATATCTTGAAAACCAAGCAGAAGAATGCTATTTCCAATGGGACGATAAAGATAATGATCTCCTGTTCCAACTCTTCAACCATTTCTACTATTGGGGGTTATTTGTGTTCTCAATTATAATGTCCAATGATTCTGGTTTATGTGTTATGTTAGTTAACAGGTCACCCACAATATGGAGTATAAAATTTGTACTAGTTGGTACTTACCAAATAAGATAGGACGTAAATACCAGGAAAATCATGATAAGAAAACCACCACCTGAAACGCCATAAACCCACATTTTTACTCGGCCATCTGTTTGAAAGAGAGATAACAGATTAGCATATAAAAGTCTCCATCATTTCTGTGTGTGTATGTGTGTGTGTGTGTTTGTATGTGTGTGTGTGAGAGAGAGAGAGAGAGAGGGAGAGAGAGAGAGAGGGAGAGAGAGAGAGGCTGAGAACCCTAAGATAAATACTAGTTCTGGACTTGACATAAACATCAACTGTAGCCAACTACGCACTGCACTGTAGAAGCTAGCAATGTTCCAACATACTCTAATTTGCTAGGTATAATTAGGAACTGACAGGTGCACTCTTGGAACATAATAAAAATACGGGTCCCGTATACTAGGAATTTTATCTATAAAAAAACAATTTAAAAATTGTATTACTTGGTACTACTTTTTATGGATCTTTGCTGATATAAACAGCTTGCATTACTCAGTCTGATTTTTAGTAAATTAACCCTCAAAAATTAGGTTCTAACTGAATGGGACTAAAGTGTTTATTTTGCTGAATGTTTTATTTTTCACCTGAATCCCGTACATGCATAATCATAAGCATAAATGGACATACCCATGTGTGACAGCTATCAAATGTAAAAAATTTTAAAAACAAACAAGGGCAGACATTTAGTGCAGCAGTGAAATCGCCTCTTGGAATGCCTGTATCCTATGTTGAAGTGACGGGTTTGAACCCTGGCACTGGATACAACTTCCCGATAACGCATATCTTGAGAGGCAACAGATGAAAGGTGAGGTACTTGTGTCCCTACCACCCACTTGGGAGACCTGGACAGAGCTCTGGGCTCATGGTTTTGCCCTGGCCCACCCATAACTATTATGGGCATTTGGAGAATGAAACAGTGTATGTCTGTCTGTCTCTCTGATCATCTGTATCTGTCTTTTGAATAAATAAAATGAAATGACCACATAGGCAAAAATGCAAAATACAAAAGAGTTAAATTTTATCACAATGCCAAATAAACTCTCACAATCACAATCAAATCAATTAGCTGGCAATCTTGAATTTATTTGAAGGTGTTTATGGTTTTAAACATGTAAAATGAAAACATTATAAAATATTTTTCACAACATAAAAAAGAACAAAGGAAGTTAGGGTTAAAACCAGATCTGCATGGATTTTAACTCTACATGCAAGGAAAACAACTATAATCATCTTTATATCTTTTAACCCTGCATACAAGGAAAACTATATATTATGACCTTTTCTAGTAGGTTTGCTTTCTAAATGAGGTTGGGTGAACACAACAAAAAAATGACCAAAGGAGTTGACCAAATTACCTAATTAATATAAAATTATGGCAGCAAGTGTTAAAAAAACACATTACTTTGAATTTGCTATCTACTAAAATTATGAAAAATAGATCAATCAATAGTCAGACCTACTGTGTGACTTCTATGTAAAATATAGAATGATACTTCAAAGAGTCCATGGGAAAATGAATAAAAAAGTAATTTATGGGGCCGGCGCTGTGGCATAGTGGGTAAAGCTGATGCCTGCAGTGCCAGCAACCCATATAGATGCCAGTTCGAGACCCAGCTGCTTTGTTTCCCATCCAGCTCTCTGCCATGGCCTGGGAAAGCAGTAGAAGATGGCCCAAGCCCTTGGGTCCCTGCATCCATATGGGAGACTTGGAAAAAACTCCTGGCTCCTGGCTTTGGATCGGCGCAACTCCGGCCCTTGCGGCCAATCGGGGAGTGAACCAGTGGATGGAAGACCTCTATCTCTCTGCCTCTCCTTCTCTCTCTGTGTAACTCCAACTTTCAAATAAAAAATAAATCTTTAAAAGAAAGTAAATTTATTTTGATGTAAAAAATTTAATTTGAAATCAATGCATATGAGGGTTTTCTAATAAGTTCATGAAAATATGCATTATGAAAAACATGTCTAGGTTTCAAAATACTTTTGAACCAAGATATAAAACTGTAAATTCTATTTTTCCAAGTAGTTTTTGAAATAAACCTCATATGATAGGAATTATAATAGTTTTTGTCAGTTGCTCTATTTTATGAGAGTATATAGCTAACTAAGCCTAGAATTGGACTACCTTTATGACAAAGGTAATGCCTTAGTGTCCCAAAGGAATTACATTTCTTTTTGAAAGAAACACGGAGATTAATTACATTGCATAAATATAATTAATTGCAGGTCCAAAATATACAAATCAGCAGCTATCCTAAAATCTTCAATACATCAAAATGTATTATAAACAACAGTAGTTTTGAATAATATCACAATTACTTTCAATTATGTTGTGTCTACCTATTACAATTTTTGCTTACAGGGCACTTTCAAACCTCAATCAGATTTTAGAATGAAGTTCAATATGGTAATGATATTTTTCTATGGTTATAAAACTTTTAACAAAGCTTTGATTCTGATCTCTTTGAAATACTAATGATGAAATCATCTATTCTGAGTGAGAATGCTCCTTGTATCTCATTACCTACAAAACCTTATGGAATGGATGTATTGAGAGGAGCTACTGCTTTCAACTCCCCAGTGCAGAGGCACAATGTGGTTTGTAACCTTTATGTTAAGTTACTTTAAAAAGAATACATTTTATAACAACATAATATATAGGATAAAAATTTAATAAAAAGTTATGTAGTGGAAAATAAGTCTTCCCACCACAATTTCTTAAGTTTTCTCTCCAGAAGCTATTACTGTCACCATTCCTTGTGAATTGTTCCAGGGTTTCTGCATATGTAAGCATTTGAGGACATAATATCTTCTTAAAGATACAAGTGGTATATACCATGCATTTTGGTTTGTACATTTTCTTTCACTAAACAATATATGTATGGGTTTGTGCTGTGGTTTGGAAGCTAGTTGGGGTGTCCCCAAATGCCTATGTGTAAGGACTTGGTCCCCATGGTGTGCTTTTGGGAGGTGGTGGGGAGATGGAGTGTAGTGGGAGGTTCTTAGGTCTTTGGAGGGGTAATGTAGCAAGGTAGTTCACATCCAACCTCTTGCATTCTGAAAAAGCGTTGTCATGAAATGCTCTTTGGCCCTGGGCCCACCCACTTTCTGTGCTTCCTTACTATGTGACCCTCTCCCCATGGGCTCTGCCATTGCCACTGCCCCCTCACCAGGGACAATCTAAGGCATTTCATTAAGGTGACAAATAATTGACTACTACAGTTGGAAATATTACCATGTTGGTTCATAAAAGCAACATCTGCCTCTTTTTAGTGTGACCCCAGTATCCACATGATACCACCGCATAGTTTTACTATATTTTTGCTTTTCTTTCATTCTGCTTATGAGCATTTAGGTTGTTTTTGCTCATTTGCTTTAGTAAGCAATCATGTAATGAATAAAAGTCACACACGCCTTTTAGTATAGGTGTTTACATCTGCATGATAAATTCTTAAAGAGAGAAAAATGTAGAGAAATATTTTAAGTTGAATGTGTGAGAGATAAATATGAGAATAGCCTCACTGAGAGCTTGATCCCATTTATAATCTCAGCATGAAAGCCTAGTGAAAGTTACAAACTCTCTCCAAGACTAAATATCTATTTATATGCATGCTTACATACAACCATAGGGATGGATATACAATATTGTATATATCAATATACATGTGTGTACATACATAGACAATCCTGAGTATATCTACCGTTACATACACACACACAGTTTATGTTGCTGGTTGTTTACTTAAAGGTTAAGCACCCCACTTGCAGATTTGATGACTCATTTTCCATACTTTGTTTCTGAGAGTGGGTTTACAGGTAAACTTGGTTACATTTCATATCACATTGCCCCTCAACTTTAAATTTACTTCTTTAGTCATAAATGCATGAAATGCTTTAAAACATATTTGGCATTCCCAGATGTATGGGGGAATAAAAGTTGAATAAGCTATAGTGGTCATTCTTAAAATATTGTGGAAACTATAGCAACATATCATTCTTTAACATTGGTTTGGCAAAGATATAAACAAAGTTTATAGTTTTAATGACCTGTGATTATGTTAAAATCTGCAAAAGAGTTAAATGGTCATATTTTCTTTTTTTAAGATTTATTTATTTATTTGAAAGTTAGAGTTACACAGAGAGAGGAGAGGCATAGAGAGAGGGAGAGAGAAAGAGAGATCTTCCATCCGTTGGTTCACTCCCCAGTTGGCCACAATGGCCAGAGCTGCACTGAGCTGAAGCCAGGAGCAGGGAGTTTCTTCTGGGTCTCCCACGTGGGTGTGCTTGGGCCATCTCCTACTGGTTTCCCAGGCCATAGCAGAGAACTGGATGGGAAGTTGAGCAGCCGGGACTCGAACCAGAGCCTATATGGAATGCTGGCACTGCAGGCAGCGGCTTTATCCGCTACGCCACCATGGCAGCACTGAAATGGCCATATTTTCATGTGATTATTGTTTCTAGCCCTTGCTTAGATTCCCAATGAACTAGGGTCTTTTTAATTTTTATTTGTTGAGCTCCTTATTTGAATTGGAACATTAAGCCTATGACTATAATGTAAATTAAAAATAATATCTCAAAAATTAGAAAGAAACAAAGAACAAGAGAGAGAGAGGGGGGCAAGGGAAAGGGGGAGAGAGGAAGGGAGGGAAGAAGTGGGAGAGGGAGGAAATGTCATCATATTCTGAGACTTGTATCTATAAACTATGTTGAATCTGTTCTCTTTGTATTAATATTACATTAACATGAGAATTGATGAGCATTGTGTTATAGTAATTATCATGCTTTTGTTAGGACCCTGAGATTCTAGTGTATTAATAAAGTCCTTAAAATAAATAAGCAAATAAAATAAATAATAAATAAAATTAGTTAAAAGAGAAATAAATCTTTTTTTAATTTGACAGATAAGATTCAGCAGTGAGAGAGAGAGAGACAGAGAGAAAGATCTTCCTTCCATTGGTTCACCTCCTAAATGGCTGCTACAGCCGGAGCTACACTGATCCGAAGCCAGGAGCCAGGTGCTTCCTCCTGGTCTCCCATGCGGGTGGGTGCAGGGGCCCAACACTTGGGCCATCCTCCACTGCCCTCCCAGGCCACAGCAGAGAGCTGGACTGGAAGAGGAGCAGCCGGGACTAGAACCCGGTGTCCATAGGGGATACTGGCACCGCAGGCGGAGGGTTAACCAAGTGAGCCACGGCACCAGCCCCAGGAAATAAATCTTTTGAAATTTTGGTTGAGGAATGTAAATCCTATGCCTCCTATGAGGTCCCAGGCATGATGCACCTGTGCTTTGTTCTATGCGTCATTTAAACACACCACCGAGTACTGGTGTGGCACGACCTAGAGTGTGGAAGGAAAGTGCCCAGGGTATTTGGACTTTGCTTGTGTCTTCCCTCTTTTGCTCTCTATGTTATATTGCCTTGTTCAGTCATTCACAGCTTTTTGTCTCCTAAAAAGGTAAATAGGGTAGGCACAGATAAGAGAGTCTTGTTTCTCCACTTCACACTTCACAAAACAGAAAGCAAGCTCCAGAGGAATGTCGAAGCCTTGCTGACCTGCCTTTAAAGTCTTCCTCTGTCACTTACTAGCAGTGTGTTCTGGGAAAAATTAAGTTTGCTGTGCAGATTTGAGTTTCCTAGTCTCGCAACTGTGACTAAGGATATCTCATTAGTTTCCAGAAAAGGAATGAGGTGATTCAAGCCATGCCACAAGCCAGCATAGAACCACAGGGTATACAGAAAGCAGTCAATAAGTGCTCAATCCTGTCCTTCTTAAATACCATTTTTAGAACACTATAATCCTGATACTTAACCTGAGCAAATATCCACAGCAACCCTGCAGGGCAAGTGTCATTAAACTGACTTTATAGAGGACAAAACTGAGCTGCAGGGAAGTTATGAAAATTAGAGCTAATCACAAAGCAGGTAGGTTGTAGTCCATGCTGCCAGTAAGTTCCATCTGCTTTTGAAATTAGTGATCTTCACCATTTCACCGCTGTTTCTCAAGTGAGACAGCCTCTCTGGACATTTCCTGTAAGTTCCTGACTTCCCATTCCGGGGTTACTTTTATCTTCAATTATATGTGAGATTCAGTTGCAAAAGCAGACTCCTTTATAGAGGTGACTCAGAGGTGAAGGATATTTGCAATGACTATATCTTGTTGTGCAACTCATCATTTCTGAGACGAAGGTTCACAGAATTCTCCTGAACCGCCACAAAAACATTTTATACATATAGCACATCATGCATCACACAACACAGAATTTGAGAGAACCTGACGTAGACCATGTGGCCTAATTCTTCTGCTCAATTTTCCTCTGCCCGTCTTTTTCTCATGAGTAGTAAAGTGGTCAAACTATGGAGCACCCTACATTGAAAAATCGGCATTTCTTATTCACGACGGAAACGCACCTGGATCAAGTGGCTGAAGAGACCATCCTTTAAAAATGTCATGTATTTTGGAATTCACAGGTCTGTTTCTCCCAGAAAGGTTTTTCACATCAGCTTTTTTATCCTCTGAGCCTGGTACTTTCATACAGTAATCCAAGAAACCATTTGATCTCATTATCTCTGTATAGCCCTTCTCACAACCACAGACTCCACCCTGCAGCATAGAAAATATGTTTAAGATTATACAGCGAGTTGTGCAGATAAATAAAGAAATCATTTTAACGGTGAACTCACTTAATATTTGCACGATATGCCATAGCAATTTAGGGTTTTCAGCAACTGACTTTCCAATGAGATGAAAATCAAATACATAGTTCCTTTCTGAATTCCAAAGTCAGCATTAAATAACTTGTCAGGCTTTTCTAATATGTTTACAATTCTGACACCTTCCACATATGAAATAATGGTTCTTTGTGAACAGAGTGCATTAACTTTGCTCTCTCCTCTCTTTTGGAGATGTTGATAGCACTTAATCAAATTATCTTCCACTCTTCCCCAAGTTGTTACAGAGTCCTGGCCACTTGCCCCAGCCTGCCCTTTCTACTGAGAAGTAAAGCATCAGATACCACGCAATGTGGTCTTTGCATTACTTGCTCCTTGAGAGCAGTCACTACCCCGACTGTGGAGTGCCTCTAACACCAATGGAAAGGCTCACCAGTGACCACGAACTTGTCCAAACAAGCTGTCTGCCTATAGGCATGATTCTTCGCACAAGGAAGGCAGTCCAAGGAGGAAGGAGAGTCCACCAGAGGCATACCTATTCAAGAGAAGGATGCCATCTATCTAACTTACTCCTTCCTTGTAATGACTCAGGTGCCATACCACACCATAAGCCTAGTTGGCATGGAGACAATGTGTCCTTCATATTTGGGGATTCCTGGACATTTTCTACTACAGAGAATGTCTCCGAGAAGCTATGATGAAAGTCCACTCTGGAACTGAGTCTGAAAATAATTTATTTTTCCAGCAAACATACAGATAATAGGGAAGAATAGAAAGAAAATAAATGATATTATGAATATCATGGCAAGCATTTGACTTAGCAATTGAGATGAGAGTTGAAACACCCATGGCCTCCTACACTGGGGTTTCATATTTGGTTCCATCTCCAGCTTCCTTCCAGTACAGGTCCCAGGATGTAGCAGTGGTTCAAAAATAGTTGGAATCCAGTCACCCAGGTGGGAGAGTTGGATGGAGTTCCTGAGTTGCAGTTTATCCTGCTCTAGCCCTGAACATTGTAGACATTTGAGGAGTAGGTTGGAGCTTTCTCCCTTGTTTCTTTATCTGCCTTTCAAATCAATCAATACAAATTTGTTTTTTTTTTTTTAATTTGATAGGTAGAGTTATAGACAGTGAGAGAGAGATACACAGAGAGAAAAGTCTTCCTTCCATTGATTCACTCCCCAACTGGCGACTACGGCTGGAACTATGCTGATCTGAAGCCAGAAGGCAGGTGCTTCTTCCTGGTCTCCCATGCAGGTGCAGGGGCCTAACACTTGGGCCATCCTCCACTGCCCTCCCAGGCCACAGCAGAGAGCTGGACTGGAAGAGGAGCAACCGGGACTAGAACCCGGCACCCTTATGGGATGCTGGTGACAAAGGCGGAGGATTAACCAAGTGAACCATGGTGCTGGCCCCAATCAATACAAATTTGTAAAAATTTAAGACAAAATTATGCAACCTGGTGTCTTTGATATTATATATCATGGCTTATTTGAAACTATTTATCTGGCATTTCTGAACAGACCCTGGCCTCATATAACCACTCTTGCCAGTCCTCATCAACTAGCCAACTCTACTTAGGTTATTAATTGTTGAACACATGGCACTGAGGAGTAACAAAAACCAAGAGTAAACAAGCATAACTGCCTCCTAAAAATGAAAAAGTTAAGAAAAGCATGTTTTAATACCTGCACAGAGTTTATTACTGATTGCCATCACATAATAATGACAACGACTGTAGTGTTTTTGTTGATTTTAGTGGAAGGTATCATCTGGTATTGAGTCGAGAAATGTAATTAAGAAAATTTGCTCAGTTATTAAAGCCACCTGTTCAAGATGCATCTCTATTGTTAAGTTGAGAGTAAAGCTTTAACCAATCACTCACATATGTCAAGGGTTCAAGAAAAAATAAATTACATTTCATTAAAGAGCCCATCAGACAATTGGTGAAAAGCTATGACTTCTATTTTGGAAACATTTTTTACCCCAAATGAAGCTATTCCCAATATAGTTTCCTTCTATTCTCTTCTGCAAGTTTAACCAAGGTGTTTTCAGTAGTAAAGGATTAACACACCTTAAAGTGGAAGAGTCATAAATTAAGATTGAGTGCTTCAGTCATTTTTAATCAAAACATTTTTCAAATATGTACACTAAAAGAAGAAACCTAGTTCTTCAAGAAGTGTACACAATTTTAAATTTAAAAATATTTTTATTTTATTTTTTAAATATATATTTATTTATCTGAAAAGCAGAGTTACGGAGAGACAGGCAGAGACAGAGCAAGATCTTTCATTCACTAGTTCACTCCCCAAAGGGCCCCAACAGCTAAGGCTGGGCCAGGTCAAAGTCAGGAGTCAGGAGCTTCATCTGGGTCTCCCACAAGGGTGTAGGGGCCAAAGCACTTGGGCCATCTTCTGCAGCTTTCCTACATGCATTACCAGGGAGCTGGATCAAAAGTGGAGCAGGTGCAACACAAACAGACACCAGATGAGATGCCATAGTCACAGGTAGTGGCTTAATCTGCTACATCACAGCACGAGTCCTCAATATTTAAAAGAAAATTTTAATATAAAGGCAGAGTGACAGAGAGGAAGGGACAAAAAGAGAGACAGAGAGTTATCCTCCATCTGCTTGTTCATTCCCCTAATGTTTGCAACAGCCAGGGTTAGGCCAGGCCAAAGCCTGGAGCCAGAACTCCATCTAAGGGTACCCCGTGGGTGCCAGGAACTTGAGTACTTTTCAGTCACACTCTGCATCCCAGGCACATTAGCAGGAGTCTGGAAGCTGGATCAGAAACACAGAGTAGCCAGGACTTGAAACAGGCACTCCAACAAAAAAATGTAGGCATCCCAGCGGCAGCTTAATCTATTGCTCCAAAACAGCTTCCTTATGTAAACTTTTTTTGTTGTTTAGATGAGATTTATAGGAGGACAGGAGGAATAAGATTTTCGCTTAACTGCTTAGCTGCAGTTACATGCTCAACTTATTTGAAATGAACTAAAAACTTGCTCACACTGTAGTAATCCTAATGTAATAAATTTCACAATATAGCTATAGCAAATACAAATAACATTTATAATATCTTTCAGAATTGTTTAGGTGTATGAAAGGCTAAGAAGAGAAGACATAAATCAATCCAGAATACATATTGGCAAACAGAGCTTATAAATTGGGTATCTGAAAGAAACATTTGGGTTCAGACAGATTTCTAGAAAAAAGACTGTTTTCCTTAACACGAGGCCCTGTACTGCGCTTGCTCCTGGAAGTGCCTCTAGATGGTATCGTGGGCTCGTGGATCTGCTGCGGGGCGAAGTGTAACTCAGTCATCACGGTGTTTGGGGAAGGTTCGAGTGTATGACTCACCTGTGTACAGTAGGAGAAAGGTTTTCTGCAGGCTGGAATACACTGCCGAATAGCAGCAGGGCGGGCCTGCGGGGAGCAGCCTCCTGCAAAGGAAATCCCAGCACTGTTTACAGATTTCTCTAGGGTACACATTTTACATTTGGGGGAGGGGTATACTTTCCCTCTGGCACTGGCCACTTGGTAACAATATTCTTTTTTAAAAAAATCCACTGGCCTACTCTGTGTTCTAGTCTCACTTTACCAATTATCCCAGGACGTGTTGTTTGACCTGTGAGGATGTTTCCAGTAGAGTTTTCATACATGTCCACTGACAATGGGAGTCTATTGTGTGGCTAAGCTTGAGGGCACAGTCTGTGTGTGGCAACACCAGCAGAAGAACTGATGACATCTTAGCGTTAACTTCAGGGGCAGACAAGAATTACATGGTAATCAAGACGTATTGAAAAACAGTTCAGGTGCAGACAACATATCTGCTTACTAATCAATTCCTGGAGCTACAATATAAAGTGCTTTGATAACCTTTGCCAGACAACCAGAATACACACACACACACACACACACACAGAGTCACATACAGATCCCCACACATAATCTTAAGAGCAAATGCAAAAAGCTGTAGGTGGAGTAATTGAAAATCAGACACAGTACTTGTAGGCACTCAGAAAATATTTCTGAGCAAATGAAGAGGATAATTAATGTCTATAATCTGAAAATTATCTCCATACCAGTCTTGTCTTTGTGGATTTAAGGTAGCAAAGGAGATAAGGAAAGCCCAGGGATAATTAGACTGAGAAGTTGATTTACTATTCAAGAGCAGTATTTAAACTGCTATATAATAGCAATTGCATTTATAAGTTCTTGCCTTTGAATTACTGTAACTGTCAGGCATTTGAAGTTTATGATTTTGGAGCCAGATAGACTTTTTGGGCCCAAAGGACCCATATAGGACTTACATTTTCCCTGAGGTATAGGACCTATATTTTCCCTGAGAATGAGGTAGCTAAATTCTCATTGTGGTCGAAAAATAAAACAAAAATAAGAAAAGCAGAAGTTACAGGTCAGAGCTAGCAGCTAGATGTTAAATTGATAATTTCGGTGTTGGTGGCAATAGCCACATAGTCCTGTTAAGTCCGATTGCTAACAGCTGTGTTCGGGGGTGGGGCTTCCACTCTTTAAACCAGTCATCAGAATTCCTCAGCAGGAGGAGATCTCTTGGGAATTAGGAAGACCATACTGCAATGCCCACAAGCTATAGAAGTTTTTTTCTAACTTTAAGAATGTGATTAAGCTCCAGGAATCTTTAAGAGGTGACCCGGGTGGCCTGAGCTTAGTTGTCAGACAGCCACGTGCTGTACAGTGTGCTGGAGGAACTCCACACCCAGACTTGAGCGGCACACCCTTCCTCGGCTTCCCAGCTAGGCTGACTTGGAGTACATTTAGCTTTAATGACAACAACATGGACAAGTAGCGAAAAATAAATTACTGTATGGATAAACTATGCATTAAGAGGAACATCAACGGTGCAAGAATAAAAAAAAAAAAAAACAAGAAAAAAATAGGAGCTGATAATTCCTCCTTCCATTCTCACACACATGCTCCCAGAACTGTGTGCGTTGCTCATCAGCTGCAGTATTAAGTAAAACCAATGACAATTTAATTTTCTATGACAATAAAGAATTAAATTCCTTAAAATTATTGAGAATACCATTTGTACCATCAAACTGTATTCAGTGTCACCAAGGAAAGACCTTTTCTTCTGTCTATATTTATATATTAACTAATAACCAGGGTTTAGTGAAATATTTCAAATCTAAATTTTCTTGGCCGTGAATACAAGCATCTACAATTTATAACAATATTATATGTTTGTATCATCAATTCATATAATATTTAAATTTGAACTTTATCAACCCTTTTAATTCCAACCTCTAAGTATGTGATATATGTGATATATAAGCAGACTAGTGTAGGAGTTGAGGCTGTGATATGTCTTCAAGATTTTTTTACTGAGAATGTGCATGATGAAAACTTTTTGAGGGCATTATTTTAAATTTACATCTTTCTGCCTTTGTCTTGGGTGATGACATTTAAGGATATTTTATTATATTTTGGGGATTTTCTTTAGGTCATCTAATATATTAAGGTGCTTCAAATAAAACTATTTGATTTCTCAGATGTGAAGGTCTAATGGAAATTTGCCCTGAAGATCATCTAAGCGACCAGCTCAGTGATCCTTTGCCTATAACTTTTAAGTTAATTCTTCTCACAAACACTCAGAGATATTTTCGAAGTGCCCACATGTATCTTAGGCAGGAATACCTGTGACATTTATGCCATCTGAACGCTGGCACCATACAGTTCGTTCATTATTGTTCCAAAGACTTGTTTTCCATGTGTAGTGATAGCATTTGCCTCCTGCAGGGAAATATAACATCAATTCTATTATATCTTGTTGAAAATAGAACAAGCATTAATCAATCAAGGCAGAAGGAATGAAAGGTGTACGTGGTACCTGAACAAGGGCGTGTTTCTAGAACTTGTTGGGGACAGCTGTCTTGATTCTCCAAAGACTGAATTATAAAAGTCCTTGACCTAGTTTGGCGACCTGTAGTCTCAAAGCTTCTTCCATCGATGCAGGCCAATTCACACTTGCTCCACTCTGACCACTCAGTTAAATGGCAGTCTCCTGGATGGTCGTGCAGGACAGGACAGGACAGGACGAGGCGGAGAGAATGAAACTGGCACTTGGCAACATTTATACAAATGGGGCTCATGCAGAGGATTTTGGTAATAGCGTAGTGATATGGGCAGGTTGTGGTTCTACACAGGTACTACACGGTCTATTTTGATCGATTTCCCAATTGGAAAGTACTTAGAATAATGAAGCAAGTTGCGGTTAATTTAGTTTAACAAGAGGATCTCAAAAACTGGATTGCCATCACTCTGTTTCCCATCATATTTTTCCTATTGAAAGAACACTATGTGTCAGCTGGTGATAATAAAAAAAAATTTAAGGGGAATGTAAAGATTGTAGGAACTGAGTTTTCAAAGATGAGTATAACATCATAAAATGGATGTTCATAGAAACCAGATAAAGCAGAGTAAGTAGGTCACTGAAATGAAATATCGACTGACCTAAAGGGTATTTGATTTAATACTCATATATTTGTGTGTATATACACACACTTACATATTACATATTGTGTCATAAAGAAATATTAAGCCACCATAAACTTATATCATATATCCGAGTTTTGTTATCAATTTTTTTAAAGATTTATTTTTATTTATTTGAAAGAGCTACAGAGAGAGGTAGAGACAGAGAGAGAGGTCTTCCATCCGCTGGTTCTCTCCCTAGATGGCTGCAACGGCCGGACCTGGGCCGATCCAAAGCAGGAGCCAGGAGCTGCTTCCAGGTCTCCCATTTGGGTGCAGGGGCCCAAAGACTTGGGCCACCTTTCACTGCTTACCCAGGCCCCAGCAGAGAGCTGGATCGGAAGAGGAGCAGCTGGGATTAGAACTGGCACCCATATTGTATGCCGGCATTTCAGGCCAGGGCTTTAACCCGCTGCACCACACACCTGCCCCTGTTATCAATATTAAAATAAGCTCTGGCTGGCGCCGCGGCTCACTAGGCTAATCCTCCGCCTGTGACGCCGGCACTCAGGGTTCTAGTCCCGGTTGGGGCCCCGGTCCTGTCCCGGTTGCTCCTCTTGCAGTCCAGAGCTGGACTGCTGTGGCCCGGGAGTGCAGTGGAGGATGGCCCAAGTGCTTGGGCCCTGCACCCGCATGGGAGACCAGGAAGAAGCACCTGGCTCCTGGCTTTGGATAGGCACAGCGCGCTGGCCATGGCGGCCATTAGGGAGGTGAACCAATGGAAGGAAAACCTTTCTCTCTGTCTCTCTCTCTGTCTCTCACTAACTCTGCCTGTCAAAATAAATAAATAAATAAATAAATAACTAAGCTCATACATCTTAGGTCCCTAACAGTGACCTTCACATTTACACAGATTTTCACTGGCTAGAAAATGCTTTTGCAAATCCATAGCCTCATCTGTTCTCCACTCTATTCCCCAGGATTTATCTTCTCAGGGACTCCATCAATATTCTTGGAGTACTGGCCAACATGATAGCATTGGGCCAGGAATTACCAACACATTTTCCAGTTGAAGAAACCATTGCTCAAGGGGACTTGACTAATCTGCCCCAGGTAAAACACAGTGAACTGACAACGATAAGTGTTTAACTCCACTCTTGAAGTTCCGAATCTAGCACTTTCCCATCCTCTTTTGCCAACTTTGTCTCCATTAAAGTTCTAAATTCCAAAGTGATAAACACAACAAAAAAATAAAGTTAAACCAAAAATTTCCATTTTGATGAAAGAGATTCTCCAGAAAACTAACAGTAAAAATAAATAAATAAAAAGATCACCAGGAAAGGGGCTCCTAAGTCTTCGAATTGCATACCTGGGCAAGGCACAGAACACAGCTGCTTCAGCAGGCTGGTTTGAAAGGGTATTTCTCCACACAGCATGTCCTCCACACGTGTAGCCCTGTGAGAGACTGAACCATTGTGGACCACGCAGGAATAGCTGCGGAGCTGGACTCCTTCCCCACAGTCTCCACCCTGGGAGAAGAAAGGACAATCTCAGAATTACCCAAAAAATGAACAACTCCAAGTTTTGGCTCCAGCCACCATTTGCCTAAGAAAACCCTCGCTGAATTTTTTGGCAGCTTCCTTCTCTTGGGAGTTCTCTGTCCATTGTTAACAACAAAGCAGCACAGAGCAACACTTCTGGAGCTTATGGAGAAGCTGAAATAGAAATGCAAATGTATGCTACCAAATTTATGTAGTCAGAATATGAGAATTCATTTTGGAACTCAGCCAGGATTGACTAAAAAAGAAAACAATACTTAATTTGTCTAGGTGTGTGTGATAAAATGGCCTAATCCATAATCACACCCCAAGAGACCATGTACAGCCACAGGGCACATATTTCTCTTTTATTTTTCTGATTTTCCTTTTGTACAGAAATCAGTGCTTTCTCAGATGGATTATGCTGGGGTTTCCAGTAAAACACTGTTTTTCTCTAGTACCATGAAAACTTGTTTTCCCAGCATGCCTTCTGTGCTGAATAATGTTCTTTGAAGATTATTTCACACCAATGCCACTCAGATATTTTAAGCAATTAGAAAAATTGTGTGCAATGTTTCATGAAACAGAAGCTTAGAGTTGGAAGACTCATAGTGGTTTGCTGGCCCAGCCATCTGCCTGATGAAAGGTTTTGTACCATAAGATTTCTGGCAGCCACTCAAGAGATGAGCATCTTCTCCTCAGTTTTATTCAGGTGCTTACACTTAAAAAATCTGCCCACTGGGTATTTGGATAACTTCAATGGATAGCTCTGTTTTCATGCAGATCCCCTAGAAACCATAGCACAAGGCAAAGCTTCCCAGGTTAGGTTGGCAAGGGTGAGAGGCCAAGAGAACTGAAACATCGAAAGAAGAGCAGCAAACACAAGGTAGTGTGTTTCCAAGCTGGCCTCCACTGCACGAGTCATCACAACCAAGTCTCGGTGACCAACACCTTCCAGAAAGCTCCTGTAGTATCACCACACCTCAGCAGCTTCCATGAGAAGTGAGGAAGGGGCAGGGGAGAGATTTAAATGGCAATATCTCCTTGTTTCCAGTTCTCGTTGATAACTATTGATTTTAGGAAGCATTAATTCCTGTGAACGTTCAAGTTGTGGTATTTAGCTTCCACGAATCCAGAAGTGAATGGTAGGACTAGTTTCCTAGCTATTGCTGCTGCTACAGAGAGGGAGAAGGAAGAGGAGGGGAGATCTTATCCTAGGGGGCTTGGGCCTGCAAGCTTCCCAGTCTGAATTTCTGTTGCTACAGTCATGCTACAACCCATTACTGGGCATTAATCTGGCAACTCTTAAAATGGGCTTAATCTCCTTACCCGTTCCCCTCTGCAGGACCTAGAAGATGTATTGCCTGGACCCTAAAGCTGATTTGGTTCTCACAGAGACTGGAATACAGGATACAGGAATCACAATAATGTTCCAGGACGAGGATCAGGTGGGTTCACAAACTGATAAGCCAGCCTGTCAGCAGCCAAACCAAGGCTCAGTGGCAATAGCTGATAGGCAACAAGGGAAAGTCCTGGCTAGGCGGTTAGAAGGTCAGAGTGGCATGCAATGGATGCTGAGAAAGATTCTTGGCATAGGAAGTTGTGAATCAAAGATACACAATAATTCCCTGTCCCAATTACCCTTGTTTTTGTTACTTGTTCAGTTCAATTACCTGTGGTTTGAAAATATTAAGAAACAATATTCCAGAAACAAATAATTCATAAATTTTAAATTAAGCACTATTTCAAGAAGCATGATGAACTCCAACACCATCTGGCTCAATGCCATCTAGGATGTCCTTTTGTGTGGTCCATCAATGCTGTTCACACCATTCATCCATTAGTCACTTACTTGCTGTCTTGACTACCAGACCAACTGTCAAGGCATTGTAGCACTTGTGTTATTTCATTTAATAGTGGCCTCAAAGAACAAAAATGATGGTGCTTGCAATTTCACTATACTATATTGTTGTAATTGTTCTACTTTGTTATTAGTTATCATTAATATCTTACAGTGCCAAATTTATAAATTAAACTTTATCACAGGTAGGTATGTATAGGGAAAAACATAGGCTATATAGGGCTTGGTGTTTTCTGTGGTTTTTACATCCATTAGGGATCCTGGAATGTAGATAAGGGAGGTCTACTATACTAGCCAATAAGGCCAAGTACAACTTGGACTCCTCCTAATTGTATCAACTTAAAGTGTAAAGAATCTGAGGAGGCACATAAATTTGGAGCATCATGCCCTCCTTTAGAGATGCCTTAACAAAAATTATGACTTGTTTATCGAAGATGATTTCTTAGTCTTCTATAAGGGAATACCTTAGACTGTATAACTTTTAAACAAAGGAAACTTACTGCTTACAAGTTTGGAGGCAAAGTCCAGGTTTGGTGCCTGATAAAGGCCTGTTCCTCGGAGCTGGTGCCTTCCAGACATCCTCACATGGTCCAAGGGAAAAACAAGCTCCCTCTTTTAATAAGGGCCTGAATTCCATTCATAAAGTCAGAGCTCTCATGACCTAATCGTCCCGTGGCCCCAAGTCTCACTTTTATCACACTTTCAACATAGGAAGTTAGAAGGGGCTCAAACACTTAGGCCACAACAAATGGCAATTTCCACACTTGACCTCATAGTTGTTCTAATCATTTCTATGGCAGTTTTAAAACACTTTTTTTCAAAAACACCATAATTTTAAACCTAAATAAAAATTTTTAGAGATAAATGGGGGTTCAAAATCAATTCAAAGTGGGTTCATTCAAAACAAATGTTTTACACTCTGACCTCAGAATCAACCCTTAAGGCCTCCTGCTTGGGCTGAAAGGCCTGTGAGAGCATTTCAGGCATGGAAAGACAAAAAAGTATCCTACATGCAGGATCTCTCTGAGACCTTAGAGGAAAGAAAGGGTCATCAAAGAAGGATACACTCTTCTCTGAAGGGAGGAGAGAGCTTCCACTTGCTTATGGCCATGTTCAAATACCAATGGAGTCTATGTTCACTAAAGGCTTCCATAGCCTTGGCCCCCACAAGACAAAAGTCTCGGATGATCATTGACGTCATAAAAAAGAGTGTCAACTGTTAAAGGAACAACAGTAGTCACTGTGACTTGCTCCCAATGTAGGACCTCTGTCCCTAATGAATTGTAATATGAGAATCGACTGCAAATTTTCTGCCCAAACTATATTCTATATGTTGCGTGCGTGCGTGGATGCAAATTGTTGAAGTCTATGCTTAGCATGGAGTTGCTTCTCTGTATATAAAGTCAAACTAAAACTGAACTATAATGAAGAAGGAGATGGGAGAGTGAGAGGGAGGTGGGATGGGAACTGGGGGGAGGGGGTATGGGGGAAAGAACCACTATATTCCTAAAGTTTTGTCTATGAAAAAATGCATTCATTAAATAAAATTTAAAACAAAACAAAAGGAAAAACAAAAAAAGCAAATGTTTTAGTAAATGTTTGCTCCTTAAAGTGGAAAATCAGGTGTAAAATAAATTTATTTAGAGGGAGGGGGTTCTCTTTAAATTGACAATTCAAGACACTGATCCATTGCAGAAGTACCTAGGTGTATGTTTCCCTATAAGGAATCAGATTCTGGGTACTTGGAAAGAAGAGTCTGCAGACTTCATAGCATTATGAAATTTTAAAATACTGGTATCTGGAAACTTGGGCAACAGAAGATACAAGTGATATGTAGAGTTTGTTTGGCATTCCATGAAACAGAATGTGAACAAATGACAGGAAGTGAGCCTACACCTGGGATTACTTTAAAAACTAAAGTACATAATGATATGCTGATAGTATGTACCTTGGGATCAGTCTATATTCAACCTTAATCCCTTATACCTTTGACAACAATAGCAACAATTTGAAGAGAAATGAGCATCAGAATTATAATTTCATTCATAAAGCAAGCACTCATCCGCTGTCAGGAGATTTATACACCAAAGCCCAAAAATAGAATTAAGTTACTTAGAGAAACATTATAAACTGCCAAGGATTCTCTCACCAACTGTCCACGGGCCAAATCATTAATGGATGTTTTATAGACACTGAATTGGCAGCTCTTCCTGATGTGAATAGGCAGATGGGGTTAATAATTATCATCATAATCTTTTTTAAAGTGATAATAGCAAATATCACTTATTGAGCTCTTAGTTTATGTCAGGCACTGTGTTAAACATTTTATATGATTTATTCCCTATGAATAAATACAGCAAAATAAGTAGAGTCAGGCTGCCATATTCATAGGTTCCTAATCTGTGATTTCAAACAACTACAAACCAAAAAGATTTGAAAATAGAATGTGTCTGTACTGATCATGTATAACTTTTTTCTTGTCATTTTTTCCTAAAGAATAACAACTATTTACATAGCATTTCCACTGAATTAGGTATTATAAAGTTATGTAGAGAGATGATTTAAAGTAAAGGTGATTTAAAGGACAAAGCAGATTATATGCAAATATGAGAGTACTGACTGTAAAATATTCATGGAGAAAATGGCATTAAAAAGTGAATTTATTTTGTTACAAAATTTTTGAAATCCACATATAGATTTTTCATTACATGCATTTTTATTAACATTTTGAAGACCCCCCACCTACGTACCATTTTACATCAGAGACTCAAGCATCTGTGCTCTTTGGTTATCGGTAGTGGTGGAGATAGGGGTTGTTCTAGAAATAATGGATTGCTACACCTTAGCGTAGATAAGAAACAAATGCTTGGAGAGTTGAAGGAATGGTCAAAAATGCAGAGTTAGGAATTGGCAGAATGATAATCAAAATTTTGGCTGTCAGACTCCAGAGTATGAGATCCTGGAGCAGATTTATCAGCATATGTGTGTGTGTGTGTGTGTGTGTGTGTGTGTGTGTATATATATATATACACATTGGCAGCTGAAGAAAGTGAGAAGAACTGGTTAGCAAACAGTAAAAAAAATGTGATTATCTGAGAACAAATACTTCCTCTTCCTACTCTCTCTCCATATAATGTAGTGGCAGAATTTACACATCCACTGTGCCATAGACAAGTTTCTCCAATGATGCTTTGATACTCTGAGACGGCAGGTGGTCACCTATGGATCACCCCCAGCCTCGGTGAATGAGCCCCAACCTGCTAGGGCACACCAGGATACGGAGAAGCAGACAGAAGCCAGAGGGAGAAGCTCTTCTACCTTTGTGTACAAAGGCCTGCGTGAAACTTCAAAAACCCAGCTTCCATAAAACCGGAAGAAGAAAAGTTAAGTGAAAGGATACTGTGTTGCGTCTCTGACAGAGGACTGCCATTCAGGCTGCAGGAAAAGTCGGAATGCAACTGGAACTCAGGAAGAACCAAGCAGCTGCCATCATGATTCCCTTTCTCTTTTTCTACTTTTCTTATCATCATCTTCTTTGTGCTTTGTTGCATCTGAGTGACTATATTTATTTATTTATATTTTAAAGATTTATTTACTTATTTATTTGAAAGGCAGAGCTACAGAGAGGCAGAGAGAGAGAGATCTTCTATCCACTGGTTCACCCCCCAGATGGCTGCGACAGCCGGAACTGCACCAATCCGAAGCCAGGAGCCAGGAGCTTCTTCCAGGTCTCCCATGAGGGTGCAGGGGCCCAAGGACTTGGGCCATCTTCCACTGCCTTCTAAAGCCATAGCAGAGAGCTAGATCAGAAGAGGAGCAGCTAGGACTTGAACCAGTGCCCATAGGGCATGCCAGCACTGCACGTGGCAGCTTTACCTGCAGTGCCACAGTGCTGGCCCCATGACTTTATTTTTTAAAAATTATTTATTTATTTGAAAGGCAGCACAACATAGAGAGAAGGCTATACAGAGAGAGAGAGAGAGAGAGAGAGAGAGAGAGATCTTCCATCTGTTGGTTCACTCCCCAAATGGCTACAACAGCCAGATGTGGGCCCGACTGAAGCCAGGAGCCAGGAATTCCATCCTTATCTGCCACAAGGGCGGCAAGATCCCAAATACTTGGCACCTTCCATTGCCTTCCCAGTTGCATTAACAGGAAGCTGGATCGGAAGCAGAACAGCATTGGCTTGAACCAGCACTTGGAAAAGGGATGTTGGCATTAGAGGTGGTGGTTTAATCTGCTGTGCCACAACGCTGGCCCCTGGGTGATTGATTAACTCTAAATACAAAGTGGAAAAACACAGCAACTAAGAGTTCATGATTATAGTATCTTTGTAAAAAAAGATACTATTTTTTTACTATGTAAAAAAAGATACGTTTGAGGGTGAGAGAACAAGCAAGTGACCTGCCATCCACTGATTCAATCCTCAAATGCTTGGAATGGCTGGGGCTGAGCCATGAGGAAACTGGAAGGCAGGAACTCAATCCACGTTACCTGTTTGAGTGGCAGAAATCCAATCTCTGATGCCTCCCCGGACCTGTACTTGCAGGATACTGGAATCAGGAGTAGGGCTGGCTACTGGTGCGGGATGTCAGCATCTTAAGTGGCATCTCAGCTGCTATGCCAAATGCCCAGCCCTGATGACAGTGTCTTCGGACACTTCAAATTCATCGGAAAACCACTGGCTCTGTTTAGGTAAGTACCTAGTCTGGAAATTATATGCTAGTTTTTAATGACTCTGCCTGGATTAGATCTAACTCCGGAATTACTTCCTGACCAGAAGTCTTCCTACCCCCATCTCAAAATCTAGAGAGCTCTGAAATTTCTTGAAGCAAAAGCTAATCACCAGGGCTGGTGCTATGGTGTAGCAGGCAAAGCCATCGCCTGCAGGGCCGGCATCCCATCGAGTTTCAGCTGCTCCACTTCCAGTCCAGCTCTCTGCTATGGCCTGGGAAAGCAGTAGAAGATGGCCCAAGTCCTGAGAATGGTCACAACCCTAATTCCTGTCCCTGTGATCCATATTCCTGAGACAACTTGGCAGTCTTGTCTATTTACCAAACAGGAAGTGCAAGAGAACAAATACTGTTCTGTAGTCATTTTACGCCTGAGTGGACTTTCTCAGTCCTCTGTCCCTCTGTCCATCTCTCCTTTCACTCTCATCGCATTCTTCTAATTTATTCCCCTCCACCCAGCTCCTTGCCCTGCAGTGCCTTCCTGAATTCTTCCAGCTTTTTCTTTATTCTCTGTTAAAGTTATGGCAATTACAAGAAGAACATTTCCTTCTATTTTCTTAATGGTAAATGACTCTAAGCAGCCCTTAAAAATTGCTGAAGACTTAGGAAAGAAAATGTTACGCTGGCAGACAAAATATTAATATTTGAAGCTGCTAGTCTACTACTGAATGAGTTAATTAGCATGGTTACCTTATTTTCTATAAAAAGGAGAATGAACAAATGTAGCACACATTTTGGTTCCTCTGGGTCCCATTAAAATATATGGGCATTTAACTTCTGCACAATAATAATGCTGTATGACAATGTCATCTTGACAGGAACGCTAAACATTTCTGTGAGAACACTCTACAGATTTCTTAATGCACAATCAAAATTATTGTTACCTAATGGAAATATGCTTTGGAACATGAACTGAAGGATAAGCTAATAAAAGAAGAAAATAGGGGAAAATCAATGTGCTTTTTTCCTGAGCAAGAAGCCAGAAAATGCAGTAAAGGATCTTTGCTGATGAAGCAAAAGCTCGAGGTATGTGATATATTATGATGTTTCTAAGCATTTATATTTCAGGCCAATAAAAAGTAATCACTGAGGAAAATGTAGTAACCTTGGTTCATGTAATAATGTTAAAATATAACTTTCAGACATTTTTGGTTTCCTGACCATACACAAGAATTTGTCTAAGCCTAAAAGTGCTTCTCTAAGAAATGCAATGGAAAGAAAGCTGTGCATCTGCACAACATCAGGGTTTTGCCTAATTAAATAATGCTTGATATTCCCAACAAGCCAAGAAAATAATAGAGAATTCTTGAGGATGCCAAAGAGATAGGAAGTCCCTTGAATTGTTCTACTATAATTAGTGCCTAATGAATGCTTATTTATTTTCCTTGCAAATGGCACTCTGCATGAAGTTTAGTCACTCAATTGTATTTTCCCCTGCTCTTCATTGTATTAAAAGTACATGGTGCCAGACCCCTGGTGAAATTTATTCCATCAGCACATAGGCTTGACCAGATAACTGCTTTGGACACACCAAGAAGCATTTCTCTAAGTGTCATTGTATGACCTACCTCCAATTTGCATGCAGACCAGTTGCCAAGGACCCAGCTGTAGCAGGGGGTCACTGGGCAGGTTTTCTGCTGGGTAAGCTCTGTGGGGCATGGCCGTCCTTCTCCTTGGGTTGGCATAATGATAAATCGAGTCCGGCTCATTCGACCTAAAATGATAAGGGAGGTGTCAGCTTTTCTGTTAGCATTTGGCTTGGAAAGGGAATTGAAGGGCAGGGTTTGCCTCACACGTGCTAAGTCTTCATTATTACACACTGAATCTGCCCTGTCCCACTTTGGCTTTTCCCTGCCATTTTAATTTAGATTTCTACAGAGACATGGGTTATCTATGTAGGCTAAAAGGATATGAAATTCTGTCTGTTTTCTAGGTCCAACTTGTAAATCTAAACTTTGTATTGTTGCAAGTAGACTGATGGCGTGCACTTTGGCAGGATGTTAATACATAGCATTCTTTCCTTAGTGGAGGATCAAGCTTATGATTACAAATAAACTGAAAAGCATGTTATTATAAAAATTTTAAAAAAGAATAAGAAACGAAGGAAGAGGGAGGGTGGCAATATGGTGGGAGAGAAGGTAGGATGGGACGTATCTGTATATATGAAACACACAAAATTTGTTCACCATATATATATATACACACTCAAAAAATAATGTTAATATGTTGAAAAATATTTGTTTACCAGGCTGTAGTATGAGCAAAGCATCTAACTTTGTGCTAGAGACAGTAATGGCATCATCAAAGGTATCTTCTGCCATCCCAGAATTTGTATTTTAGGTTAGCATCATAAATATTAAACCTTGGGGCTGGCAATGCAGCTTAACTGGTAAAGCCACTGCCTGCAAGTCTGGCATCCCTTGTGGGTACCGGTTTGAGACTTGGTTGCTCCACTTCTGATCCAGCACCATGCTAATACACCTGGTAAAGCAGCGGAGGATGGCCCAAGTCCTTGGGCCCCTGTACCCACGTGGGAGAACCAGATGAAGCTCCTGGCTCCTGGCTTTGGACTGGACCAGCTCCGGCTCTTGCAGCCTTTTGGTGACCGAACCAGCAGAGGGAAGATTTCTCTCTCTTTCTCTCTCTCCCCATCTCTCCCTCTCTCATCCCCTCCCTCCCTCTCTTTCTATCTCTCTCTGTCTTGCTGCCTCTCTAAAGACTCTGTCTTTCAAATAAATAAATAAATCTTTAAAAATTAAATATTAAACTTTGTATTTTGGACTAGGATTACAAATATTCAACAAAAAATAGTTTAATCTTTTTTGTTTTCTGAGTTCCATATTAGTAAGATAAGAACCGTACACATAATCTAAATGACCCTAAAAAATTCCCTAGGAAGGTTGCACCCCGAGGTTCCAATAATGATTGAGTTATTTGTTCACTGAGCACAAATAGCTGTTGGCTTGTGTAAAGGAACCATGGTGCTATGTTCAAATACTAATATTCCATGCCACAATTGCGTCACAAGAATAGTTGATGGAAGAGCATGGCTCCCCATAATCTTATCCCCATCCCCATCATTAGGTTATAAGTTCATAAGTGGATAGTGCAACCATTCTCTCTTCCCCCCCCCACCTTCCCTCCTTCTTTCCTCCCTCCCTCCTGTCTTTCTTGCCCCCTCTCCTTCCCACATCCTCTTGCCCTAACTCTTTCTTACTAAAGGTACTAAGTATATTTAATTACTGTTAGTTATTGGATAGGAAATCCTGCCATAGTTGTCATTCAGTCAACTGTGCATGTGATCAATGTTTAGGGGGACACAGAAGGTTCTAGGGGAGCAGGTAATGGAGCAGCAGCCCATTCTGAGCAGGACTTAGAGACCATTCTCAGGAACAGCTGAACACAATGCAGACATCTGAAGACATATTAGCCAAACATGATGTGCAGAGAGAGGGTGCCGCGTGGAAGAACGAGAAGGTGAAGAGCCCATGAGATTAAAGGGAGTGTGACATGTCTGAGGCCCTTACAGAAGTTAGTGTGGCTGGAAGCAGAGTGAGGCAGAGAAGAGCTTGAAACACCACTGTGAAAGTTACAAAATGCATGGCTTTTAGTTGATGTCAAAGATTTTACATCTATGGCTGTACTTCACAAAGTTCATGGGAAATAGAACTAAAAGGTGTTTATTTGGGTGCAAAATAGTTGGAAATCATGTACATGAGTAGATTTAAAAAAAAAACCATAGAAGCGTGTATTAAGAAAAATCATGCGGCCAGCGCCGCGGCTCACTAGGCTAATCCTCTGCCTTGCGGCGCCGGCACACCAGGTTCTAGTCCCGGTTGGGGCGCTGGATTCTGTCTCGGTTGCCTGTGGGGAGCAACCGGACTAGACAGAGTTACTGGAATTAAGACTTATTCTATGCATCTGCTCTCCCACAATATGGCGCTGGGAGAGAAGTAAACAGCTTCCGCACAGCTGCCTCCAGTTCAACTAATAAACTGTAGGACTTGCTATTGATTGGAGGAGAGCAGCGTACTCGGCGTGTGGGCAGCCGAGTTAGGATTGGCGGAGGAGGACTATAAAGGAGGAGAGAGACGGCATGCACCAGGAACATCTAAGGGGAACATCTAAGGGAACCTGTGCAGCCCCCGAGAGAGCCGGCCGGCGGTGTGCCGCTCCCCTGCGGAAGTGGGGAAAGCGGCCAGGGGGAACCGCCCTTCCACGGAGGTGGAAGGGATAGTAGCCAACCCGGGAAGAACCAGCAGCAAACCCGGGGAGGGCCGAGCGGACAAAAGAACAGCGCAGGGTCCTGTGTCGTTCCTCCACGAAGAGGGGGAGCGACAGTTGCCCCTCTTCCAGGCCAGCTCTCTGCTGTGGCCAGGGAGTGCAGTGGAGGATGGCCCAAGTGCTTGGGCCCTGCACCCCATGGGAGACCAGGATAAGTATCTGGCTCCTGCCATCGGATCAGTGTGGTGCGCTGGCCGCGGCGGCCATTGGAGGGTGAACCAACGGCAAAAGGAGGACCTTTCTCTCTGTCTCTCCCTCTCACTGTCCACTCTGCCTGTCAAAAAAAAAAATCATGCATGCATTTCAAAATGTCTTTGCAACTAAATACTTATCTTTTAATTAAATTTTTCCATGAACTTGTTGAAAACTCTCGTATATTCAAAGAGAAATAGAAAACAAATGATAGCATCACATTAAAAAACTCATTGAAAGTCCCAGACAGAAATAGTTACCCTTACTTGCCCTCAGAGGAAGTAAGGGTAATACACAGTACCAGAACTTTTACTGTTTACCAGAATATACTCTCACTGATTGGGTGATGAACTAATTATCTCTGAAAAAAAAAAAAAAAAAAACACTTAAATAAAACTGGGAAGTTCTAATCACTGGGTTCTAAATTCCTTGAGGTTTGAGTTTCTGTCCCTAGCACAGTATTTCATATACATTTAGCACCAAACTATTTATGCATGTTATCATAAATCATCTACATGATTCATATTATCTGAACATATGGCAAAATGACATCAACATCTATTAAGATAATACTAATACTGCCATTCACTTGGTAATGTTCTACATACTTTATACTGCCTCATTTTTATCTATTTATTTACTTGAAAGGCAGAGTGACAGAGAGAGAGCGAGAAGGAGAGAGGATGAGAGAGAAAGAAAGAGAGCAGAGAGAGAGAGAGATGGATCTTCCATTCTTTGGTTCTTTTCTCAAGTGCCCACAACTGCTAGGATTAGGCCAGGTCGAAGCTAGGAGCCAGGAACTCCATCCTGCTCTCCTACTGTGTGTCAGGAACTCCAATATTTTAGTCATCGTCTGCTGCCTCTCAGGTCCATTCATAGCAAGTTGGATCAGAAGCAGAGTAGTAGAGCCTTGAATCTTGTGGAATGCAGGTGTCCCAAGTGGTGACTTAATTGGCATTAATTACATTGAAACACAGAAGCAAGAGAACAAGCACGCTACCCAGCTGTGCATTTTACAGGAGACATCAAAGAAACTTTAACTGTGGTAAAATTTGTGTCAGTGATAATGTGGGTTTGGTGAAGGGCAGAATCTACCCAATCTCACATCCCAGGGCACTGGGCTCCTGTGGTGGGGGGAGGGGGGTGTATTATGCATTTGAATAGATGTTCTCAGCATCCCTCAAATCAAATCACTCCAGGTTGTAATTCATTCATAAAAAATGTTTTCCTTACTTGATGAACACATTTGGCTCAATATTTGTTTTAGAATTATTACCTATTTGAAAGGCAGAGTTACAGAGAGACTGGGAGAGGGAGAGGGAGGTACGGAGGGAGGAGAGGAGGGAGAGAGGGAGGGGGAGGGAGGGAGAGAGGGAGAGAGAGAGAGAGAGAGAGAGAGATTGATCTTCCATTTGCTGATTCATACCCTAGAGGGCCTCAATGGCCAGAGTTTGGCCAGGCTGAAGCCAGGAGCAAGGAGCTTCAAATGGGCCTCCCACATGGGTGTCAGGGGCCCAAACAATTAGGCCATCTTCTGCTGCTTTCCCAGACACATTAGCAGGGAACTGGATCAGAAGTGGAGCTTCCAGGACAAGAACTGGTGCCCATACATGTTGTCAGTGTAACATGCAGCAGATTTACACATTATACTACAACATCAGCCCCTCGCTCAAAATTTTACATTAATCCTTGCTTAAATACCCTCTAGTTTTATAATAATTTCTTAGATTTATTCTCTTGACCTAAATACCTATTATCTTAATGTCATTATAACTTCATCATGTTCAACCCATGTTTGTGAAAATAATGACAATGTGGTGTCGCCTTTATCACAGCCAACGAGGCTGTATTCTGCTATAATCGAATAACTTCTAGTTTGTTCTTAGATTGATGGCATGCTGATGGTCACTACTTTAGAACTATTTTATTTACTTCCATTAAAATGACAGATAGTTTCTGCTGGACATGGAGGTGGAAGAAATCTAATTAATTCAACAGGGAAAATGATGCTATTAATTTTTGAAATAATGAAGTCTTAAGACAATTCATGGGAAGCCTAGCTGTATGATTTCTGTGTTTTGCTATCCAAACAAAAAGATAAGATCTTCAAGCAATTGCTATTACTACCATGAATATTTTTAAAAGCAAGGCATATATAGAAAATGTATATTTTAGTGTCATTGTTTTTAATTGATTTTATATAACGTTGACAAAATATATTGTTAACAAAGACATGAA